AGTGCATGCTGTACTGTACAATTCTAGTTTTGTCTAGAATATCTTGATGCAATGGAAGGTCAGGAGTATTAACTAGCCACAACCAGCTAGACAAATAGCCTATATAGTCATCCCAGAGTGATGCCACCCACATTGTTAGAGTTTCATTAACTGCTTGTCATTTGTCTTAAGGGGGGAAAAAAAGCTCCCAACTTGGATAAGAAAGATTTTTCCTCTCCCTGTAAGTGAGAAGAGAACATATGTTGTGTCCTCATTGTGCATGTTTATGTTTTATGACTACAAGTCCTCACCTGCATGGCTGCAAGAACCTCTGGGTCGCTGAGAATTTCATTGAGACCAGGCATCCCTGCCATGCCGGGCATACCTCCAGGCATACCTCCCGGAAACCCACCTGCAAATAGAAAAAGACAAGAATACAGAAAGGAAAAAAGTTCAGTCATCTATATATAAGCACATGCACATAGCCCAGGACAGCCCCTGTCTTTTACCAGACCCGGTCAGGAAGGTGAACAAACAGGTCTTCCACAAGGCTATTGTTGTTCCCCCAACTAGAAAGTAGGGGGTTCATCACCTTCTCTTCCTGTGAATATATGCATCTCATTTCATCCACATTTTTGGAATCTAAGGCAATAAGAGGCTCATAACAATGGCTGCAGTTATTTCGGGTTTACTCACCAAACCAGGTATAGCCTATCAGCTCAAATTCAGTAGCATAAAAAGGGTTTAAGTGTCTGAGGCAGAAGTAACATGGGGCAGGAAGTCAGCAGTGAGACACCTCATGAACAAAGCACACTCAGTAGAAATCTTAGGCTGAATGCTTAGTCATATATTAACAAAATAAGCAAAGTGCCATAAGAGATGCCAATTTTGGACACTAAACCAGAATACATCATGTGTGTTGTGCTGAGCATGGGGTGGGGTTCCTGCCTATTCATCAATTTCCTAGCAGAACTGATTCGAAGCCAGCATGCACTTAGTGTACCCCACCTCCAGGAAAGTCTTCTCATGTACTGACACAGAAGTCCCAATTTCTCCCCAATACTCATTGCAAACAAAATATAGTGCCAAGAGCATGCAACTATTATTGAAGGCTTATTATATCCCAATGCTGGGAAAGAGATGGCTTCTCTCTGAATAGTACAGAAATTATGTCTTATTAAATGAATTCTACTACTCAATGAACCACAGCTCTCTCCCAGCACATATTTCCCAATATTCAGTCTGAATTTCCCTTCACCCAGTCTCCTCATATTACTCTTCAAGAGAGCCCTCCAGGCCACCCTGGACAACTCCTTTCCTTCCTAAAAGTATTTTTACAGAGTTCTATTCCCCACTTCTAGCTGGCTAAGCAATACATTATATTCATATTCTTCTCATACACAACTCTCTTCAACCCAACGATCTTCACCGTTGAGCTCTGAATACTCTCACATTTATTTACTACACACCATGAGTCACTCAGTAGTTCGTAGAAAGAGTACCTCTCCCCTTCATCCCTCCAAAAACTAAAGTCTTCTCAAGTTCCTGATCTCACAGCCTTGTCCTTTCACTGAAGGGTATCGAGAATAAATGAAAGCTTTGGCCCTGCCTCACATGAAGAAGCCAACCTCCTTCTGTGCCTGATTAGGATTCCCCAAAAATGAGGTACCTGGAAAACCACCAAACTGAGCTCCTCCTGCCTGTCGCCGGGCTTCTTCCTCCTGCAAATGAAAGCACGTCATTCCAGAAAGAACAATGAAATGGCAGACAACCTCCTACTACCTAAATGGCCTTTTGTGAAAAAATGTCAGCTAAATTCGAGACACTTAAGAGCTGGGATAGTCAACAGGCAGACCGCAGGCCAAATCCATACTGCCAGATGCTTTTGAACGGACCACAAAATCTTTTATTTACTTATTATTGTAGGGGTTTGTTTTTTCTGTTTTTTAATTATTATTTAAACTTTTCTCTGGAGTCTGGACCCTGACTATACCTTGACCAAGAAATTTTGAACTAGCCAAAAAAATAATTGGACTACCTCTGCTTAAGAGACTAGTGATGAGGGCCCACATAAGTGCCTACATACAACAGAACTGAGAGGAAAACCAGATGGCAAGGTGGAGAGGAGGGTACGTGAGAAACTAGGGAGAAAAAAAAAAAAGGGGGGGGGAGGGAGTTAAAAATTAGAATCATGTTCAGCAAAACCCTTTGTGCTGAGATCCTACTTACTGCAGCTCAGCCGTGGATACGGGCAACTCATATGCTTCAGTTACTGTTAAAAGTTGAATTTTTAAGAAAACCCTTGCCCTGCTGCATGGCCAAAAAGGAAAGTGAAAAGTTACATGGTGGTAGAACTGGTAACTCTCATTCCAGATTCAATAGAATCAGAGGATGCACAATCCACCTCTGATTTCATTGTCTCAGCTAGTCAAGTAACCAAGACACACAGCACCTAGCACAATTGGGTCCTCGTCCATGATTAAGACTCCTAGGTGTTATCGTAATACAAATACTAAAACTCCATTTTAAAAAAATATACATGGAAGGGGTTACATACAATAGAATTTCTACCAAAAAGGTTAACCTTGCATCACTCCCAAGATTATGCAACACTTTTTAAAAAAAATCAAAAGCTCACCCTCTGTGCTCTCTCATGTTCCTCTCGGGCCTTCTTTACTCTCTCCAGCCTTTCCTTGATTTCTTTTTCTTCACGCTTTCGTTCATACTTCCTGCGATGTTCAGCAATCTTCTGAGCCTGAGGCAGGAAGAAACAGTGAGTATTCTTGTGCATTTCCAATAGAGCCATCATAATATGGAAGTTTTCCTTTGAGATACAGCATAAATTTAGCCACTGAACTAGTTTCAGTGAGTTTTTAAAACAAGTGTTGACGACTTCATCATGTAGCATTAATTGACTTTAGAGATTACATTTATCACATAGCCCTTACAAATACTGTCAGCAGTACTGGGGCCTAACAACATGGCTAGACTAGTCAAAATATGCACTTCCCCAACATACTCCCTTTCTACATGAAGCTCTGGGATTTACCAGTCCCCCTATCATATCATCCACATCATAGAGCTCCCCAACCCAATACCCTTTGGCCAGCAAGAACAGGCAGAGAAATGCCTGGCCTCTTCCACAGACAGTCAATACCAGTTGTTTGCCATACAAACAGGGAACTTCCACAAGAACAATACGAAGAACATTTTTGTTGCTTCCAAAACCACCACCACTGTGCATGCAAAATTTGATCATTAGGGCAAAAGGTCACTTCCTGATTCTACTTTTGTAAAACGTTGGGCTTTTTGTCTTCTAGAGTGTCTTTATACGTAAAACACTTACATGAAGTTCCTTATTAAACCAGAGCTTCCCTGAACTCAAGCAGGGAAGGAGAGGTGGAAAAGAAGTTGCTTCTCACAAGCGGCTTGTTCTCCAAATATATTGCTTCTACAGAGTCCCACTGCAGAAGACTAGCTAGCAGTGATCTCCTTAAGGAAGGGAGACAAGTGAGGAGCCCTACAAGTGGAAAAGTAATTGAAGCACTGCCCTCCTGAAACCAGGTTCTGCTTTCAATAGTGTTGGAAAAATGGTTCCTGTTTTAAGTCACTGAACTCCACATAACAACCCTGCAGATTTCAGATAATGGCATGTATCTATAATTTGCCTGAGGCGGTCATTCCTCTGGCTGAAAGCTCACACCCTGAGACTCAGGCACAAGAACACTACCTAGTACATACATGACTGCATATACTCTTATCCTTTATCCTTTTATAGAGAGCCCTTGAATTGAGATGGCTTAAACCTTATATTTCTCTCGAGGCCACACATGGTCAGCCTTTCTACATAGCTTAGTCCTATATAGTAAACATTCCCTCAGAATCCAGAGTACACAGCCTTACCTCTCCAGGGGTTTCTGGGGCTTTGACAAATACAGAGGCAGTAATATATTGATGTGGAATATGAGAATAAGTGTTTGCTGTTGAGGTCTGCCATTCCTAGATTCTCCTGCCATGGTAAGGACCATGAAAAACAAGGGGTAAGTTTTCAGCAGAACTTAAGTCTCATTTTCAAAAATGACAGACACTTCGCCCCGGTCTACACAACGAGTTTAAATCAAATTTAACAGCATTAGATTTAACCCTCACCTGTCCACACAGTGAAGCCATTTTTGTTGACTTGAAGTACTCTTAAAATCGATTTCTGTACTCCTCCCTGACGAGGGGATTAGCGCTGAAATCGACATCCCTGGGTCTAATTTGGGGTAGAGTGTACACAATTCAACAGCATTGGCCTCCGGGAGCTATCCCAGAGTGCTCCATTGGGACTGCTCTGGACAGCACTTTCAACTCAGATGCACTAGCCAGGAACACAGGAAAAGCACTGGGAACTTTTGAATTTCATTTCCTGTTTCACCAGCATGGTGAGGTCATCAGCACAGGTGACCATACAGTCCCAGAATCACAAAAGAGCTCCAGCATGGACCAAACGGGAGGTACTGGATCTGATCGCTGTATGGGGAGATGAATCCATGCTATCAGAAATCTGTTCCAAAAGATGAAATGCCAAAATATTTGAAAAAAAATCTCCAAGGGTATGAAGGGCAGAGGCTATAACAGGGACCCGTAGCAGTGCTGTGTGAAACTTAAGGAGCTCAGGCAAGCCTACCAAAAATCCAAAGAGGCAAACGGCCGCTCCGAGTCAGACCCCCGGACATGTCACTTCTATGATGAGCTGCATGCAATTCTAGGTTGTGCCCCTACTACTACCCCACCCCTGTACGTGGACTCCTGAAAAGGGGGGGGGGAGGAGGAGAGGTTGTCTCATGCAACAGGGATGAGGATTTTGGGGACGAGGAAGATGAGGAGGAGGAGGAGGATGAAACCGTTCTCCCCGACAACCAGGAACTGTTTATCACCCTGGAGCCAATACCCTCCCTACCCTCCCAAGGCAGGTTCCCGGATCTTGAAGATGGAGAAGGCACCTCTGGTGAGTGCACCTTTGTAAATATAATACATGATTTAAAAGGAAGCGTGTTTAATGATTAATTTGCCCTGAAGACTTGGGATGCATTCGTGGCTAGTACAGCTACTGGAAAAGTCTTAATGTGTCTGGGGATGGAGCGGAAATCCTCCAGGGACATCTCAGCGAAGCTCTCCTGGAGGTACTCCCAAAGCCTTTGCAAAAGGTTTTGGGGAGGGCAGCCTCATTGCGTCCTCCATTGTAGGGCACTTTACCACGCCAGGCCAGTAGCACGTAGTCTGAAATCCTTGCATAAGAAAGCATGGCAGCGTATGGTCCTGGAGTTTGCTGGCATTCAAGCAACATCCGTTCTTTATCTCTGTGTTATGCTCAGGAGAGTGATATCATTCATGGTCACCTGGTTGAAATAGGGGAATTTTATTAAGGGGACATTCAGAGGTGGCCATTCCCACTGGGCTGTTTGCCTGTGCCTGAAAAGAAATCATCCCCGCTGTTAGCCATGCGGTGGGGGGAGAGGTGAAGCGATCATCCCAGAAAATTGGTGGGGGGAGGAAGAGAAGCGACCTTGTACTGAAAGCACACGTGCTATGTAATGTTAACAGCTTGGTTCACCATGAAAGAGTCTTCCCATTGTTCTCTAAAATGTGTCTTTTTAAATACTACTCTCCTTTTTTCCCCTCCCACAGTTGCAAATGTTTCAACGCTCCCCCACCATCTCTAGCCCAGAGGCTAGTGCAGATAAAGCGGCGAAAAAAACACACTCATGATGAAATGTTCTGAGCTCATGCAGTCCTCCCGCACTGAAAGAGCTCAGCAGAATGCATGGAGGCAAACAATGTCAGAGTCCAAGAAAGCACCAAATGAATGCGAGGACAGGAGGGATGCCTGAGAGGAGAGGTGGGGGGGATCAAGATGATAGGTGGCGGCAGCGTGATGAGAGGAAGCAGGTTGCAATGCTGAGGCTACTGGAGGATCAAACAGATATGCTCCGGCATATGGCTGAGCTGCAGGAAAGGCAGCAGGAGCACAGACTGCCGCTGCAGCCCCTGTGTAACCAACCACCCTCCTCCCCAAATTTCATGGCCTCCTCACCCAACCACTCCACCCCAGAGGGCTGCCCAAGCAACAGAAGGTTGGCATTCAATAAGTTCTGAAGTGCAGTGTGGCCTTGTCCTTCCCTCCTCCACCACCCCACCCAGGCTACCTTGGCAGTTATCCCCCTATTTGTGTGACAAATTAATAAAGAATGCATGAATTTGAAACAATGACTTTAGTGCCTCTGCAAGCAGTGATCGAAGGCGGGAGGTCCGTTGGCTTACAGGGAAGTAGAATGAACCAAAGGGGTGGGTTTTCATCAAGGAGAAACAAAACAGAACTGTCACACCGTAGCCTGGCCAGTCATGAAACTGCTTTTCAAAGCTTCTCTGGTGCACAGCGCACCCTGTTGTGCTCTTCTAACCACCCTAGTGTCTGGCTGCACGTAATCAGTGGCCAGGCGATTTGCCTCAACCTCCCACGCCGCCATAAACGTCTCCCCCTTACTCTCACAAATACTGTGGAGCACACAGCAAGCAGTAACAACAATGGGAATATTGGTTTCGCTACGGTCTGAGTCAGTAAACTGCGCCAGCGTGCTTTTAAATGTCCAAATGCACATTCTACCACCATTTTGCACTTGCTCAGCCTATAGCTGAACAGCTCCTGACTACTGTCCAGGCTGCCTGTGTATGGCTTCATGAGCCATGGCATTAAGGGGTAGGCTGGGTCCCCAAGGATAACTATAGACATTTCAACATACCCAACAGTTATTTTCTGGTCTGGAAAGTAAGTCCCTTCCTGCAGCTTTTGAAACAGACCAGAATTCCTGAAGATGCGAGCGTCATGTACCTTTCCCGGCCATCCCATGTTGATGTTGGTGAAACGTCCCTTGTAATCCATCAGTGCTTGCAGCACCACTGAAAAGTACCCCTTTTGGTTCATGTACTGGCTGCCAAGGTGGTCCGGTCCCAAGATAGGGATACGCGTTCCGTCTATCGCCCCACCACAGTTAGGGAATCTCATTGCAGCAAAGCCATCCACTATGACCTGCACATTTCCCAGAGTCACTACCCTTGATAGCAGCAGTTCAGTGATTGCGTTGGCTACTTGGATCACAGCAGCCCCCCACAGTAGATTTGCCAACTCCAAATTGATTCCTGACTGGTAGCTGTCTGGCATTGCAAGCTTCCAGAGGGCTAAAGCCACTCGCTTGTGAACTGTGAGGGCTGCTCTCATCTTGATATTCCTGCGCTTTAGGGCAGGGGAAAGCAAGTCAAAGTTCCATGAAAGTGCCCTTATGCATACGAAAGTTTTGCAGCCACTGGGAATCGTCCTCTACTTGCAACACTATGCAGTCCCACCAGTCTGTGCTTGTTTCCCGGGCCCAGAATTGGCATTCCACGGCATGAGCCTGCCCCATTGCCACCAGGATGTCCAAATTGCCAGTGCCCGTACTTTGAGAGAGGCCTGTGTCTATGTCCTCATCACTCTTGTCACTGCGCTGTCGTCGCCTCCTCGCCTGCTTTTGCAGGTTCTGGTTCTGACCCTGATCATACTACAGGATAATGCGCGAGGTGTTTACAATGCTCATAACTGCTGCGATGATCTGAGCAGGCTCCATGCTTGCCGTGGTATGACGTCTGCAGGAAAGCAGAGTTGCAGCGGAAGCGGGAGCCCATGACAGCCAAACATGGAGAAATTTGCTACTGAGACAATAACAGCACAGCAGAGTTGCAGCAGAAGTGGTGGATGATGACGGTTAGCACCGCGCATGTTTCCCGAGGAAGAACACACGTACCCGGGAGCCTATGACAGACAACATGGAGAAATTTGCTATCAAGACAAGAGCAGGAGAGCAGAGTTGCAGCGGAAGCAGTGGTTCAATGACAACGGTTAGCAGTCCTACTGCACCATCTGCTGAAAGCAGTATGGCGTCCACACGGAACAAAGGCGCGAAACGCTTGTCTGCCATTGCTTTCACGGAGGGAGGGACGACTGACGACATGTACCCAAAACCACCCGCGACAATGTTTTTGCCTCATCAGGCATTGGAAGCTTAACCCAGAATTCCAATGGGCAGAAGAGACTGTGGGATACCTACCCATAGTACTGTGGCCGTACTCCGCAGACTTAATGTGCTTAGTAGGGACACACAATCAACTGTATAAAATCGCTTCCTAAAAAAAAAAAAAAATCTACCTAATTTCGTAGCATAGACATACCCTTAGAGCCTAAATCTTGCACCTTCAGCCAGAAGTATTACTGAATGCAAGAATCCATGGCTCAAAAGGGCCTTTTCATGAATCTAGCAAATAGAGTCTAAAAAATCAATAGGCTTTTAGATGAGAACGTACACATTTGTAAAATGTTTTGAAGTCTCAGGATTGACAGATGTTGTGGTCTCTTTCACAGAGACATAGTAAGCAGATCACCAGCCATGCTGCTGAGTAAAGGAATCTGAGATCCAGAAGCATAACCCTGTTTCTCTGCTGGGTGAAGGAACACTTGACTCATGAGAAGAATGAATGGACAGGCTGGAAGCTCTGAGAAATAGGTTTGCCATGTCCTGAATGACATGATTAAGACTACTTTCTCTCAATATGGTAAATGAGAGAAGACAAAGCAGCTTTCCCTTAACTCCCAGTGTAAAAGAAAGACATTCATTAAGCACTGTGGCTCCTTGCCTGCTCAAGCAAAACTTCAGACACTTATTGTACTGATTTGTAGCAAAGAAATCCATATCTGGATGAGTCCACAAGGCAGATAAGGCAGATAACAAGATGAGCCACCAAGACTTTGAGTCGCCACTGGTAATGATCAGCATCAGATGTACGCTTAAAAATGTAGCCTATAACCTAATAGGATAGAGCAGACAGGTTCTCTTCATTTTGGATGCTCAATTCCTACAGAAAGGCTGCCTCCTGATGGAGGCAACGACTTCCACTTTCTCAAAGTAATATATCATAACTAAGGCTGCAAGTCTTTCACAGACGTCACAGATTCTGTAACCTTCTGGTACTTCTGCAGTGGCCAGTGTGGCTGACCCTAGGGTTGCCCAAGCAGTTGGGGTGGCCCCAGGCATCTGGTCCCAGGGGCCGCCAGAGCAACAGCAGTCCTGGGTTCTGCCTGGACCAGCAGCAGCAGGACCCTGGGCTGCTGACATCCTCACTCATGGAGTAGCAGTGGCAGGACCCTGCCCCTCCTTCCCAAGCAGCAGCAGCACCCCAAAGCCCCCCAAGATTTAGTCAGGAGTATTTATAGTACAAGTCATGGACAGGTCACAGGCCGTGATTTTTTGTTTATTGTCCATGACCTATCCATGACTTGTATTAAAAATATCTGTGATTCAATCGAAGCCTCAATCATAACCATATTATCTGTAGGAATCTACATTAATTACCCTTCAATCTGTGGAAGGATAGATTTATGATAGAGTCTGATGGCTCCTAATTCAAGGAAGAGGATGTGAAGTTTCATTCCTGAGGCTTCCACACACCATGATTAAGTTTGAAGAGTGCTTTTAAGACCTCTACTGAGACGAGTCAACCAAGACTATTATCTGATTAATCATCCAATTAAAACCTTGAAGATTGCTGTGGGTAAATACTGCCAAAGAGTGAGTACTGGACTTTCTGAAGTGGAAACACTCACATCCAACTGTGATTGTTTGGTTTTTACACCAGATTCAGCCACCCTTGCAAGGGTTGTACACCTGAAGCCTTGCAAAGTTGGAGACAAAAGTGCAGTAGACATCAGGCTCACTCAGATAATTTCACTGGGCCTTCTAATCTAGACTTTGCTACCTCCATTCTCTGGATGAATTCTTGGACCATTTCCCTAGGCAGTCAAGCTAGAGCTCACAGAAGGTCCCCTCAGATTCTGCAGGAAGACTAGCCCTTGAGCTGTAGCCAAGATATATTCAGTTTACTGTATAGATATGAAGAAGCAGCAAGGCACAGCACGGTAACTCTTGCCTTGCAGGAAAGACTGATCTTTTAGCAGACAGTCATCCAGGTATGGATATACCTAAGGCCCCCCATACAGATTAACTGTGAACACTGCCAAGCATTTGGTGAATACCTTTAGGGGTGCTGCCAGTCCAAAGAGAAGAACCTTATATTAGTTGTTGCCGAAAATACTTCCTGTGCTTTTGCCTTATCAAGGTGTGGAAGGAGAAGTCTTCAGAGGTAGGGTTTCATACCAGTCTTGAAGATTGAGAGGATTATACTCCCCAGAAGAGACAGATAGAATTTTGTTTTCCTTAGGTAATTTCTTCAATTTGCAGAGGTCTAGAACAGAGCCTTTCCCAGTATGGTTGCCAAGACCTCCTTTTGCAGCAGTTTCTGAGAAGAATGCTTGAAAAAAATAAATGGAGTTGAGATATGGTATGGCTTGTAACTGGAAGGAATACCCGTTTATGGGATCTAGGACCCACTGATCCTCTTGCATACGCAGATTCTGAAGCAGAGATTTCAGGAACTTTTTGGATAAAGCCTTGTAGATATTCCAGCATTTGGCAGTGTCCCTCTCTGAGGCATTTCACGTCTATCTGAAGCAAGAAACAGCGTGTGCCGAGTCAGAGGAACCTACCCTACAGGCTTCCTAAGTGGCTCCATGACCTTAAGCAAGACCCACGGCAACTAAAATGTAACACTTGATCCTGGTCCATACCTATTAAAACAGCACATGAACTATTTACCACTATGTAAAAATAACAAAGGAGAAAGGGATAGAGTGGTCACAGAACCAACCTAACACGTGAATGAAAAGAAACAGAGGAACCATTAGACAAGATATTTATACCATCAATTTATGCAATGTCTAACTTGGAGAAATATTACACACCTTCCAACTGTTAACTACTGCTCAGAAATGGCTCACTGATCACATGACTCAGCATGGGATGTCTGCAGCGGTATTCTGCAGAGGCAAATTCATAAAGGAGAATGATATCTGCTTTTAAGGAAAACATATGCTGCCCCCCAGTGGTAGAATAGTGGAAGAAATTTACTATAGAAATCATGGGCTGAGAGAACATTGCTGCTGAATATTCACACTAGTGAGAGGAGTCCATGGTGTCTCTGAGCCTTAGGAACTTTCTGGAAAGCAGGATCCACTGCAGCTATCTGAGTGTCCTCCTCGATTCTGAATACTCAGAGCTGGGGTTACAAAGGGATGCAGGACTCCAACTGTCTCAGCTCTTTCTGCTAAACTCAGATAACTCCAAAGAACAAGAGGGAAAGTGACAGGTAATTATGAATATGCAGAAGCACCACACTCAAAGATCCAGTTACCCACAACTGGAAATGGAAAGAAAAATCAAGGCATTTAAACCACAGAGTTGTTTTAGAACCTCATCTCTGAATGTTTGATACTGCAAGAGCACTTATGTAGCCCTAAAGGAAAATGTCTGCAACCTTCAGAAGCTTCCAGAAGTCTAACAAGCAAGAGTAGGCAGAAGCCACCATGAAGAAGCCAATTTATTCCATTATCCCACCCTCACTTACTCTTGGCTGCACCTCCTTCAGCATGGCACTAGCCTCATCATCATAATCCAGTTTACATGCCAACGCAAGGTCATGTGCCGCCTCCTCCCAGTGACCGAGGAGTCTGGAATTGAAGACACCAATATGGGGTTAGTAGTGCTCGCTCGTCTCATCCTTCAATTCGCAACAGACAAGGTGGTAGTCAATGTCCCTTTACATGGATCCACATGAACCTTGTATAAGTGGACACACAAATGCACACCTGAATGGTCACAGAAAAGTCAAGACTTGGTGATAATTACTGTAGGTCATGGAAAAAGAGTCCCAGGAGCATGAAACACTTAGGGGATACTTCCCTGCTGCTTTATACTCCTACAACACAACTGCCACTTTTGCTTCAAGAGAAGCCAAATGGGTGCTGTGAAGCCAATTAGTGCCATTCCTCTGAACAGTAGAAAAGAGGTTGCTGTTGTGAAAAACAAGGTACTCCCTACCCAAAGTGGCAAGGTATTGTATAGTCAATTAAAATTTTTAAGTAAATAGTATCTATTGTCAAAGAGTTTGTTGCTTCCATAGGCTGAGCTGTACACCCGGCTAGGCCCTTGTCCGCCCACTCTGGTCAGAACACCTTGTTGATTTTGGTGAAAGTCAGAAATCCAGAAAAGCTTGCTTTTCTAGTTTTCACCAAAATCAATATGGTTCTGATCAAAGCGGGGAGGGAGCCGAACGGGCCTAGCTTGAGGGGCTTTCAGCAACCTGATTTCCACTAAACTCAGGCCCACATAGTGTCCATTTGGTGGTGCAGGCAGAAGCAGCTCCCTAGCACCCTAACCACTATTTTCTAACCCTAAGGTCACTGCCTCACCACTATATCATGAGTAACCAAGTGGTTATTTTAGTAGAAGTTAGGCTTTTTCAATTTTCCCCAAAATCAATACGGTTCTGCGCATTGATACACAGAGAATTTCCTACAATTTTGGAATTGTTCAGATGCAGTTTTCAAAAGTTATCACATTACATACTGACAGAAAGAGGACAGAGAAGTGCCATTAGTTTGAGTTCAGAGCCTTGAGCCTCGTTTTGCTTGGCCAATTATATTAAGGATAACACCACCCGACTCTTACATAGCACTTTTTGCCTATAGATCTTAACGTGCTACACAAAGATGGCAAATATCCCCATTTTATGGATCGTGAAAATGGAACTGAGGTGCAATAACTTAACCAGCAGGCTAGTGGCACAGCCAGGAACCGAATCAGAGCATGGAAATTCCCCCACTCTATCAGGCCCTCTAACACTACTTCAGGGTGTATTAGAGTCAACCACATCAAGGAAAGTTTTAATATTCTGATATGTTAAGGGGAGAGCCTCCATGGTCTTGTAAGTAGTTCTTAAGTTAAAACATTGCAGATTGTGATCTGACCAGATCTTATAATTTAGCATGATGCTCTTAGTACTGAACCAGTGCCCCAACATGATTCAAGGGAACACTGGAATCATGACGTTGCTAAAGGTGCAATTTTTAGGATGATGAAAAACTCTGGTCCTGATGACCAGAAATCCTTAAAGAGTCTATAATACACTTTCCAAAGAGCAGAGTTCCTGAATATTCATTAAATGAGAATACATATTAGACATTTTCAAAGTCCTTTAGAAAACTTTGCTAATGTTTCATTACCAGTTCTGCAAATAGGATTGTTAGCCTAGTGATGGTCTGCTATCTTAAGCAGATACCATCCACGATGGACCCTGTTAAGAGATGTATTGTAGAACCGATAAGCTTGCCCAAAAGCAAGCAGCAAAACTTGTGCTTCACTGTTGTTTAAGTAGCTCTTTTAGTAACAGTTTAGTTTGTTCCGCCTTAACTGTTATACACCTCCAAAACAAGTTTAAAAACTTTAGAAGATCATCATTCTTGAGATGTGTGGATGCAGAGAGAATAAGACAGTTAACCAAGACAACACCATAGAAAGTAATTACAGAATTTACTAAACTTTGCTTAAAATGCCCAATTTTCACTACTTGAATAGCAAAACTCATTCTTTATCCTGTTTTTTAAAAAGGTTGTCATAACACCTACCCATTTAATTGTTAATTCCTTATTACATTTAATACTTATATTACAAAAAGTAAATTAATTTACAAAAATTATAGTATTTCATTACAGGTTTTTGGACATTTTAGAGAGGAGCCTTCATTACTAGTCCTAAAGAAATTTACTTTTACTAGTATAAAGTGTGTTAGGATTCTTTGGCATGAAAGACTAGCAAAATTCAAGTTATACCAGTTCATGATTCCAAATCACACAGATAAAAATCATATCCCTACAGTTAAGAATGTTCAATGACCAAACAGAAGATTTTGGTGATGGCTAATAAAAGGACATTTAGTACCAGAAACATTTACATTCCCATTAAATCATCTCCTTCCTCCCCACAAAACATCAGATAGATAAACAATTCACAATCTGTAATGGATGAGATTAGAAAAAACAAAAATTGCCTCCCTCACTAATGAGCGAAGGGAGAGGTGAAACATGGCTGCAATTCTTTACCTGTGAGCTTTCCCTCGCCACTTGTAGGTCTGTGCTGAATCTGGGTTTATTTGAATGGCTCTGTCACAGTCTCTAATGGCAGCATTTGGCTTCTGTAGTTTCACAAAGACACTGACAAAAAGGACAAGATTTATTGTACATATTTAAAAACATTTTCCATTGCCAACACTCACAGGCAAGAAAACTAAATGGAATATATTTAAAGAATTCTAAAGACAAAAGATTTTGCACTGGTGAGAATTCTGTCTTGGTTACTGAAGTTTGCCATGTAGCTCCTGGACACGTGAATCATGAGAAAGGGTAGTGCAAGCTTTCATCAGCGTGCCTCAGTCTTGATCAGCAAGAACCACTTGAGGGTGGAAGGAAGACAAAGAAATACAAGGATGCAGAGAGTTAAAGTTCTATGTCCTGTGTTAAAAAGGTTTCCTAGTCCTAAACACACAACTCAGATGCACTGTAAAGTTGGGATCAGCAAGGGAAGAAATTTGTCAATTGGTGGTAGGAACCAGACAGAGATGGTGCGAAGGGCCAGTTCATAAAACAGTGAACTGAGAGGTTAACAGGGATGCTGGGTTTGAGGGTAGACTACATGGAGCACTGCCCAATGACCCAGACTGGACAGAAAGTTGTGCTTGGATGAATGACTTATGGTAAGTCAGTGTCCTTAAACTACTGATGTTTTCTATGTGGTTTTTATTCAGAGAGTAATTTCAGTATTCAAAAACCAATCTGGATTTTGTTTACTCTAATTTTTCTTCTGAAAGGAACCAGACCAAAAAAGCTTTTGGCAGGCCTATCCCAAAGAGGCAGAAAACCATTAGCGACGGAAACAGCGGGTATTTAAGGAATAAAGGCCTAATCCAGGTTGGGTACAAGAAATTAAGGCTTTCAAATTGGTTTTAGTATTATGGTCTAGTTTCAGAACATGATAATAATTTATAGCTTGTCGCATCAGTTATAACTAGATGGCTGTGGACAAATGAAGGGCCTTATGACCAGTACTGTATGAGAAAAGATGTTTTTGGCTAAATGGACATACGATGGGACCAAATAGAAACCTTGAAGACCATGTAACATTTTGGGTCTCCAACATGGAAAACTGGGACAGAAACCTTTAGGCCAGAGGTGGGCAAACTACAGCCCACAGGCCCCTCCTGCCCGGCTCCTGAGCTCCTGGCCCAGGAGGCTAGCCCCCAGCTCCTCCCCTGCAGCCTCAGCTCAGTGGGCGGCAAGGCTCTGGCTGTGTGGTGGCATGGCTGCCTGTCCTGGTGCTCTGCACGGCGCAGCTGTAGAGCCGCCAGCCACCAGTGCTCCAGGCAGCGCAGTAAGGGGACAGGGAGCAGGGGGTTGGATAGAGGGCAGGGGAATTCAGGGTGGTGGTCAGGGTATGGGGGTGTGGATAGGGGGCAGGGTGGTCAGACGGTGTGGAATAAGGGGGTTGAATGGAGGCAGGGTTCCCGGGAGCGGTCAGGGGACAGGGAGAAGGGGTGGTTGGATGGGGCAGGAGTCCTGGGGGGCTGGGCCACACCTGGCTGTTGCCTCCCCAAACCAGCCCTCCATACAATTTCAGAAACCCGATGTGGCCCTCAGGCCAAAAAGTTTGCCTGCCCCTGCTTTAGGCTATAAGTACATAGGATATTTTCAGCTATACCCCATAGGTAACATTTTGGTATTCTATAAACTTTAGCTTTGGGACTGCTTAGCAAAGCTTTTTGTAATATTCATCTAAGAGAGCACGTTTTATTTCACAATTTTTTCTGTTTCAATAGTTGCAATTTTGTCCTGGACACTGCTGCATAAGGACTATGACTGGAAGGTACCTTGGACTAAAAATGACCTTGGGGAAGGCAGAATCAAGAACATGCCAATGGCTACAAAATCCTTTCTTAGTGTCATAAGGAGGCTGTCAAGAACTAGTGCAGAAATGGGGAGAGCCAACCGTGAAAAGTAAGAAGTTCTCAACTGCGGTTGTTAACAGAAAAGTCATTTTCAAAAGCAGCAGCTTCTCCCTGTAGTCCATGCATCGTATAAAGCTTTAACCTTTACACTGCAGCCAGCTCCTATCCCTCCTCATAATCTACCATCAAGAAATTCACCAACTCCTGATAGTCTACTGCTACACCATGTAAATAAAACTTAAACTTTATAAAATGCGTGGTTATCAAATTAATTAGTGATTAATTAGCAAGGAAATAAGTTATGTGGTGTGACAGGGTTAGGCAAGAATGCTACAAGAAAGTAGGAGAAGGTAGATATATATTAGCCCCAGATTAAGCAGGTCCCTTTCCCCTGAGTAAGATAATGGCTGTTCCAGAACAATCAGGAAGTTGATGGAACCAATTAAGGCAGGCTAATCAGGGCACCTGGTTTTAAAAAGGACCTCACTTCAGTTGGTGAGGCATGTGCAAGGAGCTGGGAGCAAGACGCTGAGAGTGAGTAGGCATACTGCTGGAGGACTG